CCCCAAAACCCCAAAACCCCATCATATATTGAAAATTTTAATATCACTTAATTAATGCATCTAGATAAAATGTAAATATTTTCTTATCAACCACTGACAGTAGGATCTATAATAGGATTTAAACTGTAATAATGCTTCAAAAGCCAGGGGTTGTAGTAGTTAGGGTCCATAAAGAATCCAAAGAAGTTGAAAAAGCAAACAACACCAACCAAGTATAAATATCCAACGATTTGTCTTTTCAGAACGGGGAATTCTTCATCAAATAGGTTCCCAAATGAAGGGAATCCAAAATAATTGCATTAGGCATGTAATGCTATAGCAGCCCATAATGATCCAGTGTAAACATATATATACCCAGCATAAATACCAAACACCTAAGTGTAGAAAATCTAGAATACCTTTTGGAGGGCTGCTCTCTTGAACTGTTCAGCAGGTAAATGTCTTTATCTGTATAGATGGTGTAAATGTGCCACTGCAAAGAAAATTGGCAGTATAAGGACACATTTATGCATACTCATGATATTTGCTTCTATGAATATATTTATCAGGCAAGCTCTAAATATCAGCTCCTCAAAAATGGGCACAAGCACTAGGTTTTTAAACGTTAAGAGGTCAATTTAAAAGTAGTCACTTTCATTCATACCCCAGAGGTACTAGACAATCTCGCCCAGAAATAGAATAGAATTAAGCATGAGAGTGTTGGCTATGGCTAGGGATATCTGGCCATCAAAGTGAAGACCAAACCATCTGAAAAGGTCAACATCGTCTCTCTGTCTATGATCTGCCTTGATATTGAGAAATGATATGCAAGTAAAACTGAACACCACGACACTACTAACTCTCTTCAATATCTCTGTTTAAGAATTTTCATCATAGAAGTAGCCTTGGGGTTTCTTACCCTCAAAGATCTTCCAAAAGTACAAACTTAGGACGAATATTGAGGAAAAGCCAAAACCAAGCACGACTGCCTCCAATGGCTGCACTTCTAGTTTCATTTTTAAATTACAATATATTTGAATTGATATTAATAAAATACCAATTAATAAGTTAAGCGGGGTTTTGGGGTTTTGGGGTTTTGGGGAGATCGGAAGA